TATATATATATATATAATATTTTATGTACGTGGAATACTAATTATAAAAGAAACTTCTAGTTTTATTGTCATTCATAGTACCTATTTTTATATGTATATTATAGAAAAAAATATCGATAATAGCCTTTCGCAAGAGATGCAAAAATACTTTAAATAACTTTTTTAAAAAATATCGCTCTCATTCCAGCAGTTTCTTAATTTTTTAACAAATAAAGAGACACAAGCACTACGTTCTTTCGGGTAGATTTAATTCGCATTCTTCTTGTCGAGAATCTGCCACTGATTTGCGACGTTTTTTCGACCGCAGCGAACATTCCGAAAAGCTATGAGAACTTAGGAATTACCTCTTCGAGTGAACTTAATACGTATATATCTTTCAGCATCTTTAGCGAGAATTCTTTCAGAAGTTTCTACTAGAAACGCTTGGAAATTTTTACGCTTAATTTTTTTTAGAAAGAATGTTTCGTACAGTTATAAGTACCTATAGGATCAGCCAAACATAATCTTTCTGAGATTTTCATAAATTCCTGTATCAAGCAAAAAGAAATCTTGAAAGATAAATAATTCGTTCAGACTTGATTTATATTTCGCGTACATTTCTCCTTTTTTTTATAAATTAATATAAATAATCGTAAAAATTAAAATTCACGCAGATATAATATCATATAATATAAATCGTTTCTTCCTTTGCTTATTTTACATACAAAAATTTCGAGGATTTAAAAAAATTGTAATTTTTAATGTATTTCTATGTATTTTTCTACATTCATCTAAATCCTTTACTCCTTCTCTTAATTAATTTTTCAATGTCCAGCAATCTCTCAGGCAATTCTCCAAGGGAACATTTTCTCGTTTTCGATCCCTTGTAACTTTATTGCTTACCAGGCAGCTTTCGAGGCCTTGTTGCACGGTCGAAAGTTGGTTTCCCTTTGGGAAGACGATCATCCAAGAATGGGTTCTGTTACACGCTTTGTTTGTTCCTTCTCTAAAAACATCGGTTCGGCCCGGCGACCGTTTAATTTTCCCTCAGTGCGCAATGTCGGCAATTTCCGAGAGGGCCGTTAACACAGATCGCCAATCCTCCTTTGTGCTCATCGCCGATAGAAAGAGGTTATGATCTTCTTATCTCAAGCAACTAACGTGACGCTCTTTCGGATTTATCAGAGCAAACAAATAGAAAACGCGTACAAGACTCCATCAGAAATAACAGACTTAGCAATCTTTCAGGAGATTCAAACCGTCATCGTATTTTTTCACTCTTTCTTTTTCGCCTTTTTCTCCTTGTTTCTCTTTCTCGCTTCAATATCGAAAGAACGACAGGAGGAAAGAAGGGGCCAGGGCGATTAATTGGAAAGCCGACGCGGGGATTAAAGATCCTGGAACCGCCCTTTTCTCTCGCAGCGGCAACGGCAGTGGCGCTTAACTGAAATTACGTCAATTGCGAGTGCGGTTGCACATTATCGACCAACGTAATTGGGTATTCGTTAGAAATAAATGGCCGTTAATGCAATTTTCGGCAGATATATCTCTCCCTCTGTCTCTCTTTCTCTCTGTCTCTCTTTCTCTCTCTCTCTCTCTCTCTCTCTCTCTCTCCTCCCTCTCTCTCTCTCTCTCTCCGTCTATCTCCCCCTTTTCCTCTCTTTATCTCTCTTACATTCCTGCTAGTAATGTATATTGATCCAAGTCATGCTGAAAACGAGGGAAACATTATAAATCCAACAGCGCACGTAATCCTTCCTCTTTCACAGTAATGATCAGATGATGTAATCATTTACTGCATCGGCGAGAGTCACCGAGATGCTAACGCGCTAACGGAGGGAAAACTTGCTACAAATCATCGTCGCAAAAATCAAGCACGATGTCGTCGTTGCGATATACCGCCATCTCGTTGTTGTCCCAGCATCGTTAACACCGAAGACGGTCTTGTGATAAATTTCCAGCACATAGCGAAATAAATTGCATCGTGGATCATCAGGTAAGTTCCTTTCTCTATTGAACCTCATGTCGTAAAATTATGAGACTTACAATAGAGGTGAAAAGGATATATCAGTATAAAATTTTATTAATTACGAAAATCCTAACAAATTTCAAGATATATCCGATAAAATTATTAGTCGTATCACCATAGAAACAGATAAGAATTTTCATACCCGTTCATAAGCAGCACTTGAATAAAATAAGAGCACTGAGTTTTTTTCTATTTCTTGTGAAAGGGATCTAAACCATATTTCTATCTATGGCAATGTTCCAAAATTCACCGCCAGCGTTGAAAATCTATAGTTTATGTTACGTGCACTGTAATTTTCAGCACTGACGGTGAATTTTGGAACACGGCCTTCGTTTCAAACTTCAGTTCTATCTCGTATGATGCTCAAAATAATTGATTATTTCAACAAGAGCACGAACGTGCTAGTCATTGTCTAATATTACAAGTTTACGATCCCACGAAATGCGATATCACGTTTCAAAATTTCCTATCACGTCTCCACTTACGATTTCATGGCGGTTGGCTCGATTGTTGCCAGTAAACCGACGATACTTTCGGAGCGACCTCATGCTATAATGACGGTCGTGTAATTATCTGCGATGCGTACTGCATTTAATGTTGTTTGGATGTCAATGCCGCAGGCAGAGGGGCAACGGGACTGGTAATTGTTGTTTACAACGCACTGCCGCGCGTCATTGTGCTATGATGATGATGTCCTGATGCATAGTGAACGTTGCGTTGATGGGAATTGACGGATTTTATTAGCGATGCGGAAGAGAAATTGATCAAATTGTCAATTGTCACATGTGGCTTATCCGGCGTGTAAGCTTTAACAAAAAAAAACCTGCTCGTCCCACATGTCGTTGCAAAGTGCTGAACAGACAATGATTCAAACAGAGTACATATTTTTTATTAAATTACTTGACGTAATTGTTACGTGATTATTCGACATGATTTCATCAATTTTCTCTCTATTCTTTATATTGTTATTAGTTTCGTTTATACCTTAAAAACCTAATCACGACAATTTAAAGTATAAGCAAAGTACATTTTAAAAAATTAAATTATTTAATATAATTATTACGAGGTAATTCGCCGTGATTTTCACAATTTTCTCTATTCCTTATATTATTACTATTACTTTTTTTATCTTTTAAAAAAATTGTCTCTTACATTTCGTCGCAAAGTTACCGAATTACCAAACAGCATCACGGTAATCGAAAATATAAAAAGTACATTTTCTTATTAAATTATTTAATATATTATAAATATAATGTAATGATTCAAAAATTATGATTTTTCATAATTTTTTGTATTCTTTATATTGCTATTATTATTATTATTAGGCTTTAGGAACTCGAAAGCTCATTGTCGCAAATACCAAATCCCGCCACTGTTCCAGTCCCTGAACAAGATCCCTCCATTTGTGACCCTCGTACCCCGTTTCGTTAAGGTCCATTCTAATATTATCTTCCCATCTACGTCTTGGTCTACCCAATGGTCTTTTCCCATCCGGTTTACCAATTAGTACTTTATACGCAATTCGATTTATATTGCTATTACCTTCGTTTATAGTTTTATACACGTCGCAGTCTTGATATTTCAATGTAGAATTAATTGCAGCGCGGAATGAATTTCGCCATCGCAAATAGCGATCGGCTTAAATCCGGTTTACGCAAATAACCCGATTCAATATACTTTAGCAAACAATGAAATACCTATACCAAACACAATTGCTATATATTTTTAGGATTATTTCGACGATCCGCCGTGAATGTTTCCCGTGTTATTTCAATGGTGAGATTATTTAGAAAATTATGCGATCATTCCCGCGTTAAATTCATGCTGCGCGAAGTACGATTAGAGCAACTACGATTACGCGATCTCTCAATTCCCGTGAAATTCAATATTCTAACGTCGTATAGAAGTGGCCCTGTATCTTCTAATGTCAATATGTATTATCTCGGCAGCTGCTCGCCTATGTATAAGGGTTGCACGTATCTTTTGCGCCCGGCATGCACTTTTCGCACGAAGCTGGATACGATAGTCAATATCGTCTAGATAGATTAACGATCGAGTTGTTCACACTAGATTGATATTATATTTGACTTTCTACCGATCCCCCGCCGTTCTTCCTCACCGCGTCACCGCGACGGGGAATTCACCGCGCAGTTAATAAGTAATAGCAAAGTCAAAGAGATAAGCCAATAACCGGCGTGCGATCTTGTTAAGTCCAAAAGTTTGCGCTACGTCCACATTTCAACGCTGTTCCTTATTAACTTGGCGCGAACAGAAAAAATTGACACGTATTCGTGCATAAATGTATTATAAGATTCCCATTCGTTATTAAAGATAATGCTTTTTTGGTGCAGCGTAAAATATAAATAAATGTACCGACTCGTTACCGTACGTCTGTGATATATTTTTTTCATTATACCTTGTATAACATCGTTATAAAAAGATAATGGAACATGTTCGACTTTTACATACGAATAACGCCATTACAGTCTGTAATAAATGATAGACACGGACAATGTCAACGTCGAAAATATTTTTGACACACTCTGCAAAAAGTACGAAGCAAATTTTTGGGGACGCGGAAAATAAACTGCCTGAACCTTTTTCACGCTTTGAAATCTAGTTTTTTCCGCATGGAACGCAGTACAAATGTATCTCGGTTGAAGTATCTCCCGTGACGTAGAGGTGCAAAGCTTATCCGTTCCGGGCAGCTTTTGGTATTAATCTGACTGGGCATAAATCTTTCGCTAATCCACGTAACGGTGTAACCCCGGCTAACACTACATTGACGTTGTCGTTGTTGCTGTAGCGAGAAATACGGAACTTGTTGAATACACGTATTCGAGAGGTCCGCAGTTACAGAGGAGTAGCTCGAAGTACTCGCGATTACCCATCCGCTTTTATAGCCGGTCGATCGACCCTAAGTGCTCCCTTTAAAGGGAGAAATCGAGCAATTCACGGATCGCGCGCGCGATACGACTAATTTACATTTTAACCGGCCTGATTCCCGGGAGAAAAATAATTGCATCGATTCCTTTTAACAACTTGGTAACTGCTTCGCAGATTATCTCTGTCTTACGTTGACGAAAAAAAATCCATATTTGTTTTCTATAAAAATAATCTTTTTTACAAAAAAAAAAGTAAAAAAAAAAAGAATTATGCAATCGTCCACAATTTATCAGTTATCCTTTGACCTATCACCAATTATACACGGAAAACTAGTTTTGATGAAGTAGGTACTTACAAATTCAGCTAAATATTGATCTAAATACAATTTTATTGGACTATTAAAATAATTATGTAGGATGCTGAAAATAGTTGGTAGAACGTCAAAACTTTTTGCTCATCAAACACGTACTTAAATTTCACACATAATTAGTTTAAATAGTCCAACAAGATTATTTCCAGATCTGTAGATATTCAATAAAATCGTTCTTTTTGTGTAAAAACGATATTGACAAATCATAAATATCTCATCATATTCGATTTTTATCGCTACGATGTGACTACTTTTAGCTAAACCTTTACATTTTTTTCTCGATCTTAAATCATTATTAACTACAAGGTGCGGAATAATTCAGACGCGACAGTTTTTTACATTTGCAAGGACAGTCAGTTTTCACGAGAGAACGAGGTCGGACGGAAGCACCGAAATTTTTCCGAAAATTTTACCGCGACGATCTCCGTCGCACGTGACGATTGAATTTGCACTCACGGTCGTCGAAAGCAGTCACGCAGCGTTTGCAGACTAAACCGAGTAATCTAAAATTATAGGAGCACCTGGACGATGACGTTGCATATGGGACACAGATAGGAAGATTTTATCTTCAGCCGCGCGCATCATTAATTTTCTTTCTACAAGAATCAAGAGAGCTTTAACTTCCCGTTGAAAATACAAAGCCGGACATCGCGTCATTATCACGTGCACCAGCGAGTCACCGCGACGATGTCGTGACGTAATCTTTATCCTAATAAGTTAACACTCGCCCTTGATTGATGTTTATTTCGGGGATGGTATGCCGTAACCGACTTGCATGTTAATTATCGGAGCGTCGTCCTACATTTTGCCATGCGGAAATAATCCGTGGCATCTCGTTTCCGGTTTCGGATGGAGAAGAGCAAGGGGCGGTTGACTGGCCAGAAGCGCACCTCGTAACTTAATTAGCGGGAGAAGCGCTGAGGTCTTTTTCCATCCGCTTCGATCATTTGCCGGATACAAGCGATTGTACAAAGTGAGGCGTTCCGGCTGCAAATCGAATCTTTTGTATCCCGATTTTACTTCTATTTCTTGACAGGATAATTCAAATTTCTTGCATTGCGTATAAAATACTATTGGCTTAAATATTCTTTACTGCCTTTTTATATTTCCCTCTATATTTTCCAATTACAATTTTTTACTTCTACTATTTAGATAATAAATTGACATCTACACTTACAAGTCCATTTGGATATTGGCATTATTACCGCATTTGATTTTTCTCTCTCTATATCTTTTTTCTGTTATATCTCGAATTTATGTGTTACTGTCATAATTTATAAAAATTTACATTAGAGAAATACTACTTTGAAGAGAAATACTGCTTTAAATTAATGTTATTTAATATATATATATACATATAT